GAACTTGCTTTAGAGGGCTTACTTTGTACTTCTTGAGTATACCATGACACAAATATTGCGCGAATAAATACAGTATAATACACTATGCCTCACAACTGATTGCTTGTATTTGTTCAAACGGAAATGTGTGTAAAACATAAGGTTGTCTTCAATGTTGTTTTTTTTTTGCTGGATAAAAGATATTAGATCCATCAGCATCTGTAAATTTCAAAAATCTAATTTCTAAAAATAATTTTCTGTAAATGTTTCAAGTTTTCAAAGAACTCTTCAGCTTAACTCAAGTTTTTATGACCAAAAAGGCTTGCATTGTTGATTTTCAAGAATCTTTATTAACTAAAAAGTTAGAAACAGAAGTTTTTCACTCATTAAAATGTTAAATCAATATAACAGAAATTTTTAAAAGTCGTAGATATAAAAAGATTTATCGTGATATAATAAAGGCAAGCCTGATACGTAGTTTTTATATCTTTAGACCGTTTAATATTTCATAAAACTATTTGTTGCAGCATAAAACGTTATCAGGATTATAGGCAAGCCTCCTCCCCTTCTCTCCTCCTCCTCGCCTTGACATTCAAATTCACATACACGTTTCGTATTTTATATAGTTATGTAGTATAAAGTTCTTAAAGACATGTCAATAGTCTTAGACTTGGTTTTATTCTCATTAATGCCATAGATACTTCCATAAACTATTTACAATTTCCTAACCTTCCTACTTCTATATTTTTATTTTAAGTTAAGGACAACGAGCAAAAAATCCTGCAAACATGAATTTACGTTATTAACTAATACGGAAAATAACAAAAATCCCATACGCTATTTTTATAGAACACCAGGAATGTTGTCATTGGAACGAGATCTGGTTTGAAAAACGGAAAATTTTGCCTTAAGACACAATTCATGTTACGATGACTGGATTGGTAACTCCGAGTCTTTTTAGTGGTATATTATAAGTGGGTTTGATGTTTAGCCACAAAATGCTTTTTAGTATTTCTTTATACATTTACTGTCGTACCTACAAATTGTGGCACAGATAATGATAGTAGGTGTTGAATTGGAGTAAATTTTTACTAATTGTTATTAGACGTACCAAAGTTTTATTTTAATTTAATAATCTTCATTAACTTCTCAAAAAAAGAAAAAACAAGTGAAAATAGTTTTGAAAACAATAGAAAAGGTAATATTTTGGGACCAAAAAAGATTAGAATTTTTTAACAATCTTCCACAAATCAATTTTCACATTTAAGTTAGAAAATGATTCGCCAGTTGCAAGAAAAAAATCAATTTGACACTGTTGAAGAAACTAAAATCAGAGTACACTCAAAGCTTACCTGCCGTTATCGAAGTTCTTAGACCAAGAGGTTTTGTAATGCTTGGATCATTTCAAAAAACAATTTACTCCATTACGGTAAAAATGTGGTATATAGTTCCAGTTCCAAATTAATTAACACTGTAAGACACTCGTAACGGTAGAAAAATATTTTTCAGATTTATTATCTGCTTGGGTCCTTTGCCTGTAGGTTCTGCGAATGGAGTGGTAAATTATTGTCATTATTCTAAAATGTCCGTGGTGGTTCCCAGAAATCAGTTGATGGAGCTCCCCAATGTCAAAACCACAAGATAGCAAATAAACTTCTTCGACTTTTAAACGATATCTTTGATTCGTAAAACTAAAAAATTACTTTGATTCGGAAGGAGTAAAAACTCTACGAATAGTAAGTAACCTCTTGTATACAGTTGTATCAGAGACACATACTAAACGCAGCCTTGAGAGTCCTGGACAAGGTCAAACCCGCTAGTCTTCAAATCCTTGCTGGTCATGCTTCTGATGTTTAAAGTACATATCTCTTGCGGGTTTACATCAGACGTCTGCTCGATGGGTGTTAATTAACCTTTCTCGATTACAAAACAACTTTCCCAGACATTGTCCGAAGGTCTTCACAGTGCACAACCGTGGCGTTCCGCTCTTATAAACCCGCGACCTTCCTCTTGTCTTCGGTTCCCGCCTGTGAATTTACAAATTTACGTTTGCACGCTCCGCGACCACGGAATTTACGCTCGGTTGGCTGTTTTCAGATAGGGCAGATAAGAAACGACATTTGAATGAATTTCAGTCAAATGAAAACACAATTAACGCATACATAATGAGGAGGATTCGTTCCGGACGGCAAACGCTGCTAAACGATGCTTGGCATCTTTTAACAATGCAGACGTATTGTTTTCTTGATGTGATACCAAGACATTTTTTCCGTTCTTGGAAGATTTTACGCTTTTTTGACAGTTCCTATTAGTTATGCTCGCGTTCAGAGGCTCGATGTAACAACTGATTTAGGAAACATGATTGCTTCAAGGACACGCTTTGATTGAATTATTTATTTGATGGCGGTTGCTGGAAGTGCGTGGCATATCCTATCCGTGATGTAATTTCCAACGGAAAAAGACGGTGTCTTGTGGTAACAAAAGCACCAACGGCATTGGTCTCGATTAGATCGTTTCAATTTTGGTCTTGGGAACCTATTAACGAAGATTGATTTTTCTCGCCGAAATGGTACAAGGTGTGTACACTTATTTTGTAATATTATTTAACTTGACCTTAACCTCAGGTTTTTGCACCATCACATGATTAAACCGTCACAAAAAATTATCTAATCTAAATTTTTGTACGGATGTTCTCACGTAGTAACAAACAAGATACACGAAGTTATCTTAAACGCTTTAACGCATAGGTGTGGTAGATAGGTGTTAAACGGGTTCAAATGATGGATTATTGCTTGAAATGTATATTTGCTTGACTATTACTCTACAAAAAGACGTTATCATGAAATCCATTGAGACAGATATATTGAGCCAAATTGTAGCATAGAATGTGAATGCAGTATTAAGTATGTTGTTCTGTAGTATAAAGCCAATAAGTTTTTCCAAGACCGATTAGAGAATCTAAAGTGGAAGACATATGTCACACATGTATATACATAACTGAAACACAATCAAAAGCTCTATTAAAAAATTCGGACGGTAGGTTTTAATAGCTTAATCAAATATTAAACCCATACGTTCAATCAAAAGGCATTGACAGATTTTAGCAAAATGCTACTGTTTATCAATTTTGAAAATTATGTAATGTGTTAATGAAAGGTCCTTTTGGATACTCGAGGTTTGTAAATTTTCAAAGTTTAAATATACTTGAAAGTTTGTTTTTATTCCAATTTACTTAGCGATAATCGTATTTTAACAGTTATATCACTTAAGCTAGTTTCAATGTTATTTTTTTTATATTTACGCCCATTATCTTCGTCCTTTCAAGTTGCTAATGCACATGTCTGACATTCTGTGAACAATCTGAAAGGTACTTAGTCGTCCTTAAACTGGGAACAATTGTTTGCATGGCATACGCTAAACACTTGAATGCATAATGTACAATTACATGAGTAAAAACTCTTGAAACATGACTGTTGCATTAAATTTTAACGCTGTATGCTTTAGAGTTACGACTCTTGAGTTCGTAGCGTGGACAGAACTCCCTTATGCAAATACTCGGAATTGGTTGGCATTTATTCAACATTCTATTGTACTGTCACGCTTAAATTTACCCTTCTTATAGTTCTATCTATCGAACAAACATTACTGAAGAGCAGATTCCATGCATAAATTGCTTAATTATAAATAAGGTTTTTTTTTATATATGTTACCCATTGCGTAATGTAAGTTTTAAAGTTTTAAGAGTTATTTTTTTTATTTTCCAATGCCTTTCATTTCATTCTCCACAGACAGGTTTTCTTGGCAAGGCAGTTAATTAGTCTTTTCCAGCAACAATGTTTAAAAGTTCTTTTCTCACCGTAATTTTGATTAAACTTAGCATCAAAACTCCATCACCTTGAAAAATTAAAGATATCATATCCCAGAAAATTTATTGTGAACTGTCAAATGAGTAAAATTTGAAAGCTTGTTATTTTTTAAGAAAATGGCAAAATAATAAAAATACTCTCATTAGTATTAAAAAAATATAAAATTCAAAATTGTAAAGACTACGTTTACAACGTTAAATTGATATACATACACCACTTTTAGCTGACTAAAATTAATTTTGACATCTACTAGCGGTTGATCCAAGGCTAGTTAGACAGAACTTTTCTCACCCCTGAACATGTTTATTTTTTACGAAAAATTATAAAATTTGATTTTACCAATAATCGTCAATATTTTAACAAGGACAGGTACAGTTAAATCCATAAGGTTGTAACCACTCGTTAAATTGTAAGGTTGGCATTACAGCCAATGGTGTTTTTCACATGAACAGATTGGTAACGGCGCATGTGTCAAAATTTGACAATTACGCACGAGAGAGTTTTATTTAAATATCTCACAGTTTGTTATTAAACCATATCATTGAAAAATGGTACGAACACGGCATATTGTGATAAATAAGCAGATGAAAATGGCACTTGCCAACTGCCACAATGAATTGAAACTTGCTTATCCCCAAGCATCCTCCCGAGAACTTGAATTCAAGCTTGTAAAAATCTTTTCAGTATGTAGTTATTCTTATACCATGGAAAGAGAGTACTCTATTATGAGAGTAACGCATCGACATTCGGAACTTTTTTCATGTTATTACAACATGGTGGTCTGTCGAAGGACTTTTAGTTTTAACTACCTCAAGTTGAAAGTGTGTATCCCGCTTTTTAGTACAACATTGTCTTTTCAAGTTTTATACCCACTCTTTATATACTACACAATACAACTAAATGTCCCTCATTAAATTCAAGCACTGCATACTTTCCCTGTAAACTTATTATTAATTGCTATTCTTTCCATAGTGTTCCTAATGTCAAGCCTACAAAATTATAACCCAACACCAATCTGGAGAACCGTTACAAGAAGCAAAGTGGAAACCAAAACAAAAATCGTAGTGGTATTCAAATTTGGAATTTAAAGATGATCTAACCTACCGTATATTTGACAAACCAAAAAAAATTAGTTTTTTACTCTTCAGGATTTGTTTATTTTTGCGAAAGAACATCCAGAATATACAGCAAGTTTAAATACTTTACGTCGAGTATTAAAATCCATGGGATTCAGATTTAAGAAAGTTAACAACAGAAAAATAATTGCTTTTTGGTTATTTGGTCTATGTGTTCCCAATGTTTCTAACCACTCCTGTAACAGTAAGTTTAAATAAGCCGTCAAATTATTTTCAACATACTTATTATTTTAGCCTCTGAATTTTGTGAAGTTACATTTTGTTCATTATTACCACTAAAATCCTCAGGGCGGAGGAGCATAGCCAGACCTATCGCCTTCAACCAAATTCCTTGTACATTTTGTAAATAATAAGTAGTACCAAATATTAGAGTTATTAAACATAACATTAAAGACTTGTTGGTGTCCCATTTTTTTGATGAAAAATTGGTCATCCGTTGCGACTAATTAAGGTGATCTACCCATTATAGCCAATTTTGTTGTTGCTCGCGAGATTGATCATTTCAGTCGAGAGAGCTGGTCCTTCGAGTCATATCATATCATAGTTAGCCACACATATAATTATCATGTATACTCATGTACAATAATTTAAACAAATTCTGAATATCTCAGTTATTCCCCATCTGTAAAGTAATTTTGATGAAGCAGCAACAATAAATAATTCAATTCACCTTGTTTTTTTACCAGTCCAATATTTGATTTCATTCGTGACCACAATATTTTTGGGTTCATTTTATCGTAATTCGTAAACGTATCGACTGCAAGTCTAAATTACAGCAGGTGGAATTCTTCTTTCTACAGATGAAAGATAAAACACGTTTCTATTTATCGTTGCTCTTGTATCATAATTACCATGAAGACTCAGGTTATCCTGTTTTTATTGAAAATTGTTTATCAATTTTTACAATATTGCGACAAGTTACAATGATAATTATGAAATAACCTGTGCAGGAGTGCAAGAACTGCAGTGAACTCGAACGTAATCATGTGTCGCGAATACATGAATGAACTGACATTATATTGACAGGTCACCAGATTTGTCACCAGGTTACTAAAAAACAGATTTACACTGAATAATTTTTTAAAATTTACACTAGGGAGTGGTTACAACCTTATGGATTTGAGTTTATATGAATTTGGATAGATAAATTTGTATTTACTATTCCAAAGATTTCTGAATGGCCATTTTTGATTGATTAGTTCTAAAAATATTAATGCATTGATTAACCACAAGCATAAATATTTAAAATGATACATTACATAATATTTTACGCATTTAAGATTCTGCATTAACTTCTGAGACGTCATCATTTTTTTATTTTCATTGGAAGTGATAAAAGCATAAATTTTGATTAACGATTTACCATGTTTCCGATAACCTTAAAACGTATACAAAATTTTAGAGCATTCGGCGAAGTGGTTTCGTAATTTTTTTTTTTCAAAAATCTGGATATCTCGGATCAATCAATACGAATTCATAAACCACAAGTATGAGGGTATGTTATTTTATTTTTTATATTCATTTTTGTTTGAGTAAGTACAGATTGCAGTAAAAAATCTATAATTACCTAAATAATTTTAGCTTTATTCTAAGAATCTGAGGATACTCGAATTTATTGTATAACTGCAGAGTGAGTAAATAAAATAAATCCTGTTGTACATATTATGATTTTTTTTAACAGACGAACTTAATACACCTTTGTAAAAATTATGTTGATGACATAGAAGAATATAATGGAATATAATTAGATTGCGCCAACAGTTTTAGAAAAATTAAAGTTATGAAAGTTTTTGTAAAGTTTTTTTATTACCTAATGCAACTTTTACTCTTCTACGCTTTTAAAACTGTTAACTATCGCTACTACTTTTATTCCCATCTGCATTCTGTTGTTTTTGTGCTGTACCTCACTCACACTCGGCTCTTCATTCACATTTCCCAAATTTTCCGGAAAATAACCTGAACGACCGTACAAAAAATGTAATTTCACGTTCCATTTACAACCTAAAGTTTTAAATTTCTCCATCCTGTTATCCACGATAGCTACATTACTTATGTTTTTTAGTCACTTCAGCTTCTTCTCCAGATGTAGTCATTACTATAAATTTTCTAGCCAAGCTTAGTTTCCGAATCGGGATCTCACTAATACGCCCGCTTTTACGTTTTGGTGTTATGAGATGGTAGTTTGAAACAATGCTATCTAAAAGAAATTCCTCCCTTTTTAATATCCGCCAAGTTGTTTCATTATTCCAAATTTACTACAAAGTGGAAATAAAGAAAAGTGTTTTGGATTTAAAAGAACCTCTTCGCGTTGTTTCCTAAGCCTGATACAAGAAATGGCTTTGGCGTTTGGAGTTGGATATGTTAATAAAAACTGACCAAGAAACAAGTGTGAAACTTAACATATAACATTCAGTTTGATTTTTTTTCGTAGGTTCCACAAGATATAGTAAAGGATGTCTAAATTATTTACGCAACCACAAAACTCCATCTTCAAATACAGTGTTATATTAACGTTAAATGTGGCGTTACAATTGCACTGTAAATTTATGTAAGTGCTAGTAGTCAGGTTTTGACATTTTCTGTCAGTTCAACGTGGTCATCGTGTATGATTATGCAAACTAAACGACTTTATGCATGCTCGTAACCTCCCATGATCGATTTCAGGAAAATTAATAACAAGTCCATACCTGTTTGTAATGAGTTATGCAACATGACGTATATTCCTAATTTCAGTAATTAAAAAACATTTTTAATTTAAACATAACACGTAAGAACAGCTTTTATTTTTGAAATATGTATGAAAGTATGTGACCAGAAAAATCATAAATTTTGCTAATATCAGAAATCGTACTGCCCAACTTTGTGCAAATGCGAAAGATGGCAATTTCCCAAACAACATCGAACGCCCATACCAACAAAATAAAACAAGGCTGTCGAGTTTAAATTATTGTTAACAATTAATGTTTTAATAATAATAGATTAAATATAAGTAAATATACTGTACTGTACAAGAAAAGTTGTCTACCAACTGCATAAAATTTTCGCTCGTTTCGACTCTCACTATTAGCAACTAAATTCTCATTTGACAGTCATCAAGCTCGTGTGTGTGGTTAGAAATTCATCAAAGCTCAAGTGGCACAGAACTAATAGTTGAACATTGACTTTCTATTTTGGTGGAAGTTTCTTTGGGTAGCTTCACTGTGATTTTATCCCGAAGTATGTTTGATCAATCGATATATCTGAAATGAATTCGATAACGTAAACAATTAAGTGGAAGTATTTAATAAAAAGTTACAGGTTAGAAACGATAAAGAGATACATACGGTACATAAGAGAAAAAAAAGTTGGCAATTAAAACAATTTCTTCAATTTCTTCGGGTACTGATTTGCCCCGCACCAATACATAGATTGGAATAGCCTGCAGAATTAACTACAATCTCTAATTTGAAATTATCAAAAATTATGAATAAAAATCGTTTCTTCAAAAAAAAAAAAAAACTCAGAAAGTGGAATAATAATAAGAAGTATTAGGAAAAAATTTGTTCAATATTTCGGCGAAGTACACCTGTTTGAAAATTGGGAAAAGTTGATTCTTTGATAGTCGCTTTCGTTGATCAAATAATAATATTTTTCTTGTTGAGTAGATCATATTACTACGAAATTTATTAATTTTGATTGTGGTAAAGATTGTCAGCTCCGGAGCTTTGCAGTTGCTTAATTTTCACTAACCGGATTTTTGTCGGACGAGCCAAAAAACAACCCTGTGGGTCATTTATATTCCGGAGCCAGGATCAATAGAGGCGCTTTTCTGTATTCCGGGCAGGTCCTAGCCGTGTCGGAACGAAATTCCACCGTTCCAGAGGGAAACTTCACGCGGCCATTCTTTCTTCATTACGTTTAAGATAAATTTGTTTCATTTTTTCAGTCCCAACTTAGAACCGCTGCTACTGAATCCTGCATTTAAATTGCCTTTTTCAAAGCCGTATGATATGAAAAGAGAATATTTAACGAGGGTAGAGAAATTAAGTTTGCTCGTCACTATATTAAATAAAAATATTCTACGCATTTACAGTAGTATCTAATTCAGTGGCGTTAATTAATTTTGATGCAATTATCAAAAAATACGGTTTGGTTAATCCATTCGATGCGGAACAGTAACGGTTCAAAATTTTACTTTAAAATTGAAAAAAAAGTTAAGTGCGGACATAACTGGAACGCTCGTAGCGCGCTGATGTTTTAATTGAGTAAAAAATTGTGTAGATTGGTCATCCATGAGCAGCAGGCGTGACGGCGGCACAGCGGCAACGTTGCGTATCATTTTAAACATGACGGATTTTTTATGTCCGCGCTAGAATGGAGTTCAAGGACTGATGACGTATTTTCCCCGTCTTCCACCCGCACACTACGAGCCGGCAATTGCACACAAACAGCATCGGAGTGAGCCATGGATGTCTATTTGCGTTGGCCGCGTTGCCACGTTCACGCGTTTCCTAAGCCGCCCAGACCTGCTACAATGCGGACTCCCCACCCTCGAGATATTTCTGACTCATTTTATTTATTACATGTTTATTTTTGAAATCTAAGTGGTTTTACCGCTAATTTGTACACACATAACGTGTAAACATAGGACGCCCCTGCACGATTTTTAACGTATGTGTTTATTATGTGAATTCTGAGAACAGCAGTTTACTTTATTCTTTGCATAGCTGAAACAAAATTGATGCGAAGTTTTCAACGAATGTTAACCTTTTGGGTTATTCTTTGCAGAGCTGAAATGACTCACTCTAGTCTACTGCTTGTATATTTGTACGAGAAGGTGCACTTGTCTATTCATAAATTCAATCCAGATAACTTTCCGGTAAATTAATTTTGTGGTGTCTCACTCAATTCCGTATACTGCTTTGTATGTCATGACCATAGAATAAATTTATGCTGTTTAGATTTGCACGATTGTAAATAATAGTTGCGAATTTGAATATTTAATATATGTATAGCCAAAAATCATAATACTGCAGTCTGGAATTATTATTTTCTGAAAAGTTAGTATTTCACTACCCGTTATCATATTGTATTAGTTGTAAGCTAAAATGTATGCTAAGACAAAACGATTTTAAATCGATGGAAAAAAAACAAACAAATACATATTTTTTAAAATGATTTCCTTTTGATTAAATTTTACTTTTTGAACATCAGTCAACGTGTCGTATACGTCAAGGTAACTCCTGAAAGTCAGACCCCTGTAGAAAGAGGGAGGGTAATAAATCGCAGATTTATCGCGTATATATTTCCCACAACTTCCGCATAAAACGACGGCAAATTTATTATTTCCGAAATATTTAGTGTATCCTTCATACTTGTTCGAAAATATAATTTTTATTTTTCAGATGTAGATATTAACTCGTGCCAAATAGCGTAATAACGTTTCCCCCTCGGTTTTTCAAATACTAACTTGACAAGTATTTCCTTCGTCTAAATAGTAATTTAGACTAATAGTTTGGGAAAGCCTGCTTCCCGCATGAAGGCTTGTTTGCGGCACGACTGAAGGGAGTTATTTATAAACAACGACGTTGACAGCGCTGCAAACACGTCACTTGCAAGCTACTTTAAAGTTACCATAGCAATGGAAAGTAAAAAACACGCGTGCGGGAAATTCGACCTCCTGCATCTTGGTGAGCGCGCGAAATTCATAAAAAAAGTCACGAGTGAAAATACAAATTATACGATGGCATATGTGCAAAATAAAGCCTCTTATGGAGACATCGTCCCATTTACAGTGTTGTAGAAAAAGAAGGAAACTTTTGTTTTTAAATAGACGTAGTGCTTTTCACATGCACATTATCCTAGCTGACATTATATATTTAAAGGCGGTAATTCGAAGGCAACAGTCACTACATTTTTACCCGCATTCAACCCGCCATGAAACCTCAATACTAAAGGACTGATAATCTATTAAAAAAAATCTAGTCGCGTGACATATGGGAAGAAGAAAAAGACTGAAACAACAATCATGTATATATTTGATACGTCTTAAATAATGTATCTTTTC